CTAATCTCCAGGATATATTTTTAAAAAATCAAAAAACTTAACACCAAAAAACCAAACAACCCAAACAATAAATGGGCTAAGGAGTTGAACAGACACTTCTCAGAAGAAGATATACATTCTATCAACAAACATATGAAAAGATGTTCAACATCTCTAATTCAACATCTAATTAGAGAAATGCAAATTAAAATACTCTAAGATTTCATTTCACATGAGTCAGATGGCAGTTATCAAGAATACAGACAACAATAAATGTTGGCGAGAATGTGGGACGGGGGAAGGCACACTCATTCATTGCTGGTGGGAATGCAAATTGGTGCAACCAATCTGGAAAGCAGTATGGAGATTCCTTAGAAAGTTGAGAATAGAACCACCATTGACCCAGCTATCCAACTCTTTGTCTTTACACAAAGGACTTAAAACCAGCATGCTATAGTAACATAGCCACATCAATGTTTATAGCAGCTCAATTCACAATAGCTAAACTATATGCCCTTCAATAGATAAATGGATAAAGAAACTGGTATATATACTCAATGTAATATTACTCAGCATTAAAAGAAAATAAAATTATGGCATTTGCAGGTAAATGGATGGAGTTGAAAAATATCATGCTAAGTGAAGTAAGCCAATCCCCAAAAACTCAAAGGCTGAATGTTCTCTCTGAAAAGTGGATACTGATCGATAATGGGGAGGACATGGGAAAAATGAAGCAACTTTGATGGGGCAAAGGGGAGGGTGAGGTGGGGAGTGGGAATAGGAGATGAGAAAGATAGTGGAATGAGATGGACATCATTACCCTAGGTACATGTATGACTGCACATATGGTACAATGCTACATTGTGTACAACCACAGAAATGTAAAATTGTCCTGCAATTGTGTACAATGAACCAAAATTAATTCTGCTGTCATATATACCTAATTAAAATATTTTTTTAAAAAAAGAAATTCCATCATGATTAGACCTAATTTTCTTTTGTTATTACCAAGACCTGAAGAAGACTAAAACAGATGACCTCCCTATTTGTACTGAAAGAGGCATGGACACAGAACTTCTGTCACTTTCAACCCCATTATTCTACCTCTGGACAAAAGTTAAGCAAATCTGCAAAAGTAAGTATAGGACTTCAGGATGACTATTTTCTCTGATTTGCATAACATCTCTCAGTAATAAAACATAATTTTTCTATTTCTCAAGGAAAAATTGATTACTCTTTTAATCATATATAAAATTCCGTGTAATATGGGATAAAATTCTATATTTCCATATACTAGTTAGAAAATAAGAGGTAAGATTAAAATTTTATTTTAGACATACAAGCTTGAGAAACTGAAAAATCCAAGGTTCTTCTAGTGACTTAAGGGCAGCAACAGTACATCTGTGATGGATTTTAGGTTAAAAAATAAGGTAATAAAGGTGCTTAAGTTTTGAAAATGAAAATTTTTTTCTAACATTAAATACATTGGTAACTATATTTTTTCTTTGCTACTGTTGGCATCTATCTTTATCCCAAATTACATGGACAAAAATGAAAAAATAGAAAAATATTCTAATGAGCCCTTTCAACAACCCTTTAATACATATGGTTTCTATAACTACAACAATATGAAGTTATAGCCACATTGAACATAAAAATAACTTTGCAATGGGGATGAAATTTGGAAAATATAATATTCATTCCTCCCTGTCTTTATGCAGAAAAGACCTACTTATTGACTGTTCCCAACCATTGGCTAACTGGCTGGGAGGACTTGAGTGGAGGAGAAAAAGGACAGTAAGGAGACTACTGGATAATACAATTATTACCTTAAGAATAAAGAAGACACAAGTGGACAGATATCTGTGTTCATGCATTGAAAGATTTAATATTGTTAAAATGTATGTACTATTCAAAATAATAATCTATGTATTCTGTGCAATCCATTTCAAAATCCCAATGCCTTTTTTTAACAAAAATAGAAGAAACCTTCAAATTCCTATGATACCACAAGAGATCTAAATAGATGGAGCGGAGAAGAGGGATAGAAACAAAGCTGGAAATATCATACTACCTGATTTTAAAATATGTTATAAAGATACAGTAATTAAAATAGTAAGTATCTGGTATAAAAACAGAATACAGATCAATGGAACAGAATAAGAGCCTGGAAATACATCAATGCATCTATATGGTCAAATGGTTTTCCATAAGGGTGCCAAAAAACGTAATAGGGAGAAGATAATCTATTCAACAAATGTTATTGGGCAAACTAAATATCCACACACAGAGGATGAAACTGGACCCTTCTTACACCAAACACAAAAAGTGACTCAAAATGGAATAAGACTAAAACATAGATATGAAGTTATAAAACTCCTAAAAGAAAACAAGCAAAAGCTTCAGGACTTTGGTCTTGGCAATAGTTTCTTAGATAGAATGCCAAAAGCTCTGGCAACAAAAGCAAAAGTGGATAAGTGAGACTATACTAAATTAAAAAGCTTTTGGACAACAAAGGAACAAAAGATAGGGTGCAAAGTCAACCTATGGAAAAAATATGTGCAAACTATTTATCTGATAACAGGCTAATATCCAAAATATATATGATAGAGAGAACTCCCTTAACTCAACAGCAAAAATCCCCAAATAGCCATATTAAAGAAATCGCAAAGGAATTAAATACTCTTTTCTAAAAAGAAAATAACCAACAGGTATATGGGAAGAGGATCAATGTCATTAATCACGAGGAAAATGCCCATCAGAACCCCTAGGAGATATCATAATGGACCTCTAATATAGCTATTATCAAATACACACACACACACACACACACACACACACACACACACACACCAGTAAGTGTTGAAAAAAGCAAAAAGAAAGAAAGAAAATGGAACCTTTGCACACACTGTGGGAACATAAACAGGCAGAGCCTTTAAGGAAAACAGTGCAGAGTTGCCTCAAAAAATTTAAACTAGAACTACCACTAGATCCATAAATCCCATTGCTAGGTAGATATCCAAAAGAATTGAAATCAGTATCTCAAAGAAATGATTGCAGCCTCATGTTCACTTCAGCATTATTCACCATAGCCAAGATGTGGGAACAAATGTTCACTGACAAGTGAATGGGTAAAGAAAATGTAGTATATACATACAATGGAACATTACTAGCCTTTAAGAAGAAGGAAATCCTGCTATCTGCAGAAACAAACCTTAAGGACATTATGCTAAGTTAAACAAACCTATAAAAGGACAGATACTACATGAGTCTATTTATTTTAATTATCAGTAATAGTCAAAAACACATAAAAGTAGCAAGTAGAATGGTGGTTACCAGGAGTTGGTGGTAGATACTATTCAGCTGCATAAAATCTCAGTGATGTAATGTAACTAAGTTCTATAGATACATCGTACTTGTAGTTAACAATACTGTGTTGCACACATAATATATAACTGGAGCATATAACTAGGAAAGATGAAAAGTTCATAAATGATGAAGCTTTGATTCAGAGTAAGAAATCCAAATGATTCCAATAATAATTATTTGTTTAATGTCCATGCTTCAAATGACTAATCTATAAAAATAATCCCAATACATACAAGAAATGTTCATCAATGATGTGTATAAGTCTGAGCCAAAAATATTTTAGAACAAATCTTCCATGAATTTAAGAAAAGAACACTAGCAAGTCACAAAAAAGTGCACAGGAGAACCTAGATGACGGCAACCCTACATGAACCATGCAAACCTTCTGCTGACTTTTTAAATATTGGGTCACCAAAGACCAGAAAAAAAATGTTGAAAGAGTCAAAAACAACACATTCCAGCCTGATTAACTTAATTCTACCTCTTTTAAACATTGATAAGGTGGCCCATCTGGGATATCGGGCAGTGATTTTCCTTAGGACTGCGAAGCCCAACCTTATTTAATAAAGAAAAATAATGCATACCTGCATCAGATCCACACGTGGGCTTTATGTACATGTCATTCAAAACTGGAGATGAATTACAATGGTTCTAATCTCCTAATTTTCTTTTTACCTGAAGAGTGTTCAGTGGCATTTTATCAGTAAAGATATCATAGTACAGAACATAATATATTCTGTTTTTATCATGTACCACCAAAAGGGGTCTGGATGGTAATTTTATTCTTGTAACACATGGAATAAGACCCGAAAAACTTGGAAACATGAAAAAAACCTGCCAAAGTGTTGAAACAAAGAACTGAATTTAGCAACAAGTTTTAGTTCCACATGAACTTAACAAAGAGTACACAGTAGTTTATCAAGCTCATTGGAGAGAAACAAAACCTTCCACAGGAATTGGATGAAAAATACTTAGAATTAAAGATATCCCTTTAAAAAAATATATATGTGT